ATGTCAAAGGATGTTGACGTTGTCTTTGACATTAAAAATAAAAGAAGATAAATATGAATAAGTAACAATAAGCAAATTTCAAGAAGACAAAGATTTTATTTATTTCAAGAGCAATAGAAATTGATATTTTTAAGTATCAAATATGTCAATTTATATAAATAATAAATGACATTAAGGGTTTTTTTCATGCATGCGGCCAATTATTATATTATAATTGTATTATAGTGAAGGAGCTTGCATCACTACATGACAAACATCTAACACGACCAGCATTTGATGACAGTATTGATGAAGAACATGCTATAGAAATACAGACCCAGGAAATTACTCAAGTATATATATCTCCTTTTATTATTCTTGTCACAAAGAAAATAAGGCATAAGTATGTCTTTAAGTCATAAAATTTACAAGTTATGACTAATAAATAACTAAAACCCAGTTCCCACTATGCATGTGAGAGTAACGTTAGCAGGCTGACAGGTCATGTTGCAATGAGGCATTATGGATTGTTACACTTTGACTTTACATAAAACTTTATAGGCTTAGCAAATAAATAATGCGAGGTATATTAAAAAAATCGATTAGAAATATTGATTTCTGTAATTTTAGTTAAAACTGTTACTTGATATGGACATAGTTTTGTCATTAGCTAAACTATTTGAAGAATAGGGAAAGCTGTTGTACTCACCAAGGTGCTGCATCAACATGACTTGTTTGAGAGCATGGTAAAATGTGACTATCCATGGCCTATAACTTTGACATGGATTTTGACAGAATTACGGCCCTTTTTGAACATGGAAAAATTTACATTATCCAGGCTCTTGTTTTGCTATCAGGCTCTGAGGATAGATTAGCAAGCTGCTGTCCTTCCAACAGCTCTTGTTTTGTACATTTTGTATTTATTATAAAGTAGCTTTTACCATTCAAATTATTGTGAGAACCTTATAAAGTTTTCCTATCTAAGGTTGTTTTGACACATGTATTGTCTGTTTATCTTTCAGATGTTTGCACACTGCCAGCGATTAATACAACAAATCACTGCCCGCAGTAGACGTGGGACCGATCAAGAACTGCTTCTTTCACAAAACATGGTTATGTCCCTTGTTAGATCTATACAGGAAATGTCAAATAATTTTAGAAAAAGTCAATCATCATACTTGAAAAGTGAGTGAATTTTAAAAGATTTGGTGCTGAAAATTGGTTATAGACATACAGTTTTGTCCTGTTTGTGTGCAAGACATCTGCACATGTAGGTTTGAAAAATCTGCATAGTAAATATGTGTAATGTGCAAGGTCCATGTCAAAGGTTAAGGTCACCGCATGGAATTGCACTAAGTGTATTGATAATATATACTTGCAACTCATTTTTGAAATCAAATACATTACTAATTAATGTATTTATAATTTTAGTACTTGTCATGTTCATATTTGGTCTTAATTTAATAATGCTTGATAGTATTACCTTTATACTTACATATGAACACCATAAAAAGATAATGTTAATATTTGCCAGCTCAAATTCATGTTCTTTGAACACTTAGCTAATTATACCCCCGCACAACAAAGTTGTAAGGGGGGTATACCGGAATCAGCTTGTCCGTCCGGCCGTCCGTCCGGCTGTCCGTCGGTTTTTTCTTGTCCGCCCAATAACTTAAGATTCCTTTGACCCTGAGTCTTAATATTTGGCATGGAGGTTAGTCATGATTAGTAGATGACCCCTATTGATTTTGAGGTCACTAGGTCAAAGGTCAAGGTCACAGAGGCCTTGACTTCAAAAAGCTTGTCCGCCCAATAACTTAAGATTCCTTTGACCCATAGTCGTCATATTTGGCATGGAGGTTAGTCATGATTAGTAGATGACCCCTATTGATTTTGAGGTCACCAGGTCAAAGGTCAAGGTCACAGGGGCCTTGACTTCAAAAAGCTTGTCCGCCCAATAACTTAAGATTCTTTTGACCCACAGTCTTCATATTTGGCATGGAGGTTAGTCATGATTAGTAGATGACCCCTAATGATTTTGAGGTCACTAGGTCAAAGGTCAAGGTCACAGGGGCCTTGACTTCAAAAAGCTTGTCAGCCCTATAACTTAAGATTCCTTTGACCCATAGTCTTCATATTTGGCATGGAGGTTAGTCATGATAAGTAGATGACCTCTATTGATTTTGAGGTCACCAGGTCAAAGGTCAAGGTCACAGGGGCCTTGACTTCAAAAAGCTTGTCAGCCCAATAACTTAAGATTCCTTTGACCCATAGTCTTCATATTTGGCATGGAGGTTAGTCATGATAAGTAGATGACCTCTATTGATTTTGAGGTCACCAGGTCAAAGGTCAAGGTCACAGGGGCCTTGACTCCAAAAAGCTTGTCCGCCCAATAACTTAAGATTCCTTTGATTCACAGTCTTCATATTTGGAATGGAAGTTAGTCATGATTAGTAGATGACCCCTATTGATTTGAGGTCAAAGGTCAAGGTCACAGGGACTTTGACTTCAAAAAGTTTGTCTGCCCAATAACTTTAGATTCCTTTGACCCACAGTCTTCATATTTGGCATGGATGTTGATCATGATTAGTAGATGACCCCTTTTGATTTTGAGGTCACTGGGTCAAAGGTCAAGGTCATAGGGACTTTGACTTCAAAAAGTTTGTCCACCCATTAACTTAAGATTCCTTTGACCCACAGTCTTCATATTTGGTATGGATGTTGATCATGACTATAAGGTGACCCCTATTGATTTTGAAGTCACTGGGTCAAAGGTCAAGGTCACAGGGACCTTGACAAATAAAAGCTTTTCTTCTCAATTGTTAAAGAATGTCCTGTCCGCAATGTATTGATTTTGACAATTTCACATTTGAAGCATGTACAATACATAACTTAGCAATGCACTGGCTTAGTAACCTCAGATTTGGCAGGGAGGTTGTCCTTGAGCTCTAAATGGCTACTGTTGATTCTGACAAAGTGGTATGCGGGGGTATTCACGCCATGATAGTGGCAGTTCTAGTTTTTAGCTTGTCTAAACAAAGAATACGTAGAGCTACCAGTATTGTACTCACCCAATTATCACAATTGCTTTCATACTTTGATTAAATTTTTGTATGCAAGTTGGTATCATCAAAACTAATGAAGGGAATAGGTTGAAACTTCACATGCTAATTTAAGAGCATAATAGGAGGTCACTGTTCAATGCCAATAACTTTATGACATTTATGTTTTTGTTCATTTCTTTTACAGAATTACGGAGTCGAGAAGAACGATCTCAATTTTTTGACACAAATATAGGACCAGATTCAGGGACTCTTCCTGAAGATGATATGTATGCAAGTTATGATAGGGTAAGTAAGATATCAGTCATATTTAACTCTGATCTGATTAGCAGGAAATTTGACTTTATATTACCATATTCCCTGTAAAGGCCCCACCCTCTAAAACCATCCCTGAAAAGGTCTCACCCTCCAATTTCCCTGTAAAGGCCCCCCACAATGCAAGTTTGGCTTTTCTTCTCTGCTAGTTAAAAAACCCCACTGCATTGTCCCAGCAGTATGATTATAGATGGATGGTACTTTGCTAATTTTCCCCACAAATTTTCCCCACTATTCCTTGCACTACCCATTTCAAAAATGTATTCTGATTTTTGTTTTTAGTGTTTTAAATTTCAAGATATTTTTGATATTTTCACTATTGTCTTAATATTGATACTTTTAACACGGTTTTATTAAAATGTAGATATGTGTTACAGGGTTTTTAATGTTAAAGGCCCATAGCATCTTAGAAATGCTATCATTTTTATTTCTCAAAAACATTGTATTTTTGGTATGTTGTTACAGTTTCATAAAGAAATACTCATTTGCCACAGATGAACTAGCTTTCACTTCTTCAGCTCTGTTTTTAATGGGTATAATCATAGTGAATGAGTATTTTGTATGGAAGTCAAATACTACTTTGTTTATATTTTGCTACCCTTACGACACATACTTGCATATCCAGCAACTTTCTTCAGTTGTTAAACATCTAATATGCTCTAAATCCATTATTAAAACATTATTAAAGACATGTTTGACATTTTTAAAGAACTAAAATATATGGATTTTTGAGGTATAATGTGACTTTAATATATATTTCAGGGTTTTTCATCAGAACAGATGCAGCTGGTAGACAACAATACACAGGTAGTAAATCAGAGAGATAAGGAGATTGCCCACATTGTACGCTCTATAACAAGATCTGAATGAAATATTTAAAGATCTGTCACACATGGTTGTGGATCAGGTATTTACCTCTATTTTGTCTTTTTTCGTTGTCTAGTGATCTCTTTAAGATAATCATTTATTTACTCACAAACATCCAGGATTGAATTGATATGATCCTAAGGTTTTTCATTTTCATGGCATTATTAAAAGCTACTTTTATTCATTGCTCTTATCACAATACCCATCTTGCTTTTCTGATTCCTTAAAAACTATATACATATAGATGCTTTTCAATTAACAATTAAAAAATGCAAATTTGAGGCTCATTTCCATTATACTTGTATCAATATGCTTAAGATAAGATAAAAAAATCTCTCATCTGTCTATTATCTTCATGAAAATGATAATAATCTTATACTTATTGGTGCTATAATAATACATGTATTTTCCTTCATATGACTATTTTTATGTTCCAGGGAACAATATTAGACAGAATAGACTATAATATAAGAACATTGCATCAGTGCAGGTGGAGAGAAAGGACTACAACAATTACAAAAAGCTGAAAAAATACCAAAAGAAAAAATAGAAAAATGCATTTATTTTAATATTAGCATTATTGATAATAATTTATAATAATACTTATAGCCAACAAAAAGCTTAGTAAAAACATAGTTGTTACATAGAAAAAAATTTTTTTTATTATTTATTGATCATTATATTTCTCTGACATTTGTTGTTTTGGCAATGTTAAAGCAGCTCTGTTGCCAAAGAAACTAAATTTCCTGTCATAATTTTTTGCTCCTCTTTGTAAAGAAAATGTTTGAAAAATTTTAAATCTGTCAGAAGTAAAAATCCTTTCAGTACTTAGTTTGTATATTCAATGTACATCATCTCATGAATGTTAGCTTGTAAATATTTGCATTATTTCTTAATTGGCCTTTGAAATTTATCAAAATTTGTCGTTAGTATATACCGATGCAGCATCATGCTTATAATTTTTCCATCCCTGTATGTATTTATAACATCTGATTTTTCTCAACTCTCATATAATTTAAAGGGTCAAATACCCACATTTCAGAATACTCGTGTAAAAAATTCTTAATGTCCATAATAGCATAAGTGTGACTTAAAGCTGCATGCCTCCAGATGACCCAAAATATTCAAGAAAATTAAACTTTGAAAAACCATACTAAAACTTTGAGAAAAGTAAACAAATTAAAGATTCAAGTGATAATTTATATCTTATGTGCACTTAATGACTGTATTTTGTAGTATTTATCACCATATTTCTACTGCGTTACTAACGCAGTAGGGGCTATTTTGCATATTTGACCTCTTTTTGGTAATTTACGTGGATTTTAAGTGCAGATTGTAATGTTGTCGATACTTTCTTTGTTCATTTCACAATATTTTACCTTTAAATACATTTTCAAAATGTTCATGAAAATTAGGATGAATCTGGAGGCGTGCTGCTTTAAATTCAAACCAGATAAAACACACACAAAAACAAAATGTATACCAGAGCTGTAGTAACATTGTCTTAACCAAATGTCTGTGATTAAAAACTGTATTAATATAAACAATTTATTTATACAAACAAAGGGTCCTAATAAAGTGTGATTTTAAATGAAAATGATTGCATACAGATTGTGAATGTGAAAAAAGTAGAAATTTTTGTTTTTCTTATGTGTGTAATTTCCAATATTTTCTTAATTTAAAATTGTGTTTGGTGAAGCAAGTTTTCTTAGGAGTATAGGAAGCAATTCAATAGTGTAGAATCTTTATTTTTAGCTCGACTATTCGATAAGAATAAGTAGAGCTATTGTAGTCACCCGAGCGTCGGCGTAACCACTTATGTTAAAGTTTTTGTAATAGTTCAAATATTTTCAAAGTCCATTGACATATGGCTTTGAAACTTTGCACACTTGTTCACCATTATGACCCCAACATGTAGACAGGAGGAGATAACTCTATCAAGGATTTTGACAGAATTATGCCCCTTTTTCGACTTAGAATTTATGTTAAAGTTTTTGTAATAGTTCAAATATTTTCAAAGTCCATTGACATATGGCTTTGAAACTTTGCACACTTGTTCACCATCATGACCCCAACCTGTAGACAGGAGGAGGTAACTCTTTCTAGCATTTTGACAGAATTATGCCCCTTTTTCGACTTAGAATTTATGTTAAAGTTTTTGAAATAGTTCAAATATTTTCAAAGTCCATTGACATATGGCTTTGAAACTTTGCACACTTGTTCACCATCATGACCCCAACCTGTAAACAGGAGGAGGTAACTCTATCAAGCATTTTTTTTTTTTACTATCAAGAACTAAGAATAGTCGAGCGTTGCTGTCCTACCGACAGCTCATGTTCAATTAGATTTAGAATTGTAAAAAAATTATGGAATGAGAATTATATTGATAATAGTTCAATTTTACACTTGTTAAGCAATTATCCAGTCATGTTGACTTGTTATTATCAATTGTTATTTTGCCATTTTCTAGAATAATGCCCCAATATGTATTTATCTTTCTAGAATCATAAATTTTCAGGTACATTTATGTAGACTCAAATAAAAAACAACATTTTCGTCTTTGCATAAAGGAGTTTTGCATAAAGGAGTTAAGCTATACAAAAAATGAATTTGTTTTACCTAGAAACATGCATGTTTTTCTTATACTAGTTCTCTCAAGCTCTAAATTGTACTTGTTTTGTCTCTATCATGAAGTATTACCAAATTGGTAATCATTATTATTATAATTAAAGAAGGGCATTGTTGTTGGAGCTTATACAATATGACAAGAGTGCCATTTTGGTCAAGTAGGTTATTGATATACATTTTTTGTACAACTTTACTTAATTCCTGAAAATCAAAAATGAGAGATGTTGATTAACAGCTCAGTTGTCTCCCTTTGTAATGTCAGTGTAAGTGACCCAACATTGTTTTAAAGTAGTTAACTTACATATACATACATATATTTGTTTTGTTTTGTGATAATTGTGCAATATTAAGGTTATTGTGTAATAAAAAAAATCTACTTAAACAATTAGTGAATTACTGGTAGATAATAGATTATATATTGTTAAGTCATATAGTTGTGTTCAATTGAGTAAACTAAGTGCTATATGTACAAGTGTATCTGCAGAACACCTACTGAAGATTTGATTGTGTGCAGTCATCAATAAAAAAGTCTGACATTTTAAAAAGTTATGTCAAGCCAAGTCTTTTTGTAACATGGCAGACAATGTCAGTATCTAATTTGTCTTGTGTAGCTCTTATAAAGAATAACTCTGCTTTTCTGAGTTTCTATTTATCATGTTAATAGCAATATATAACTTCAATCCATATGTATACAACATGAAATTCCATTTTAAGGTTTGTTACAATGTCTAATAACATGATTATTTTATTAGATTCAATTGTCTGAAGTGTTTTTCACAAGTCTTATTTTAAGCTCTATGTTGAAATGACTAGTATTATGCCTGAACAATCAGTTATTTTGGCTTTAGTACTTTCCAAAGTATAGAAAATATGAAAACACTGTATTTACAGCCACCTGTGATATGCTGCTTATAAAAATCATTTTCTCTAATTATACCCCCGCACAACGAAGTTGTAAGGGGGGTATACTGGAATCAGCTTGGCCGTCCAAATGCTTGTCCGAGTTGTATTGATTTTGACATTTTCAGATTTGAAGCATCACGGTAGAATACATAACTTAGCAATGCACTCCAGGCTTAGTAACTCAGATTTGGCAGGGAGGTTGTCCTTAGTTCTAAATGGCCACTGTTGATTCTGACAAAGTGGTATGCATGGGTATTCACGCCATGACAGTGGCAGTTCTAGTTATACATATTTTTTTTTGCGTAACAGCTAGGCACATCATGTTGGTACGACTTTATGATAACTGCATCAGAAAATATTAACACCTATGTTCTTAGATAAGCTTTATCTACAGAATGAATATGGACAGTCTTCATATTTACATGTACAACTGTTGCAACTTTAAAATAATTAATCCTTAACCAGCTGGAATCCAAAGTGATTAACCTTTGCCAATAGTATAAACCCAGGTCAGCCTTGCAGTCTGATCAGGCTCTATACTGTTGGTAGCTCAGTTTTTGTAATTCAAGTCCCTGACACTTGGAATGGACTGTTCCAAATTCAGCAGTGGACAATTCTATAGATTCAGCAGGTTAAGCGTTCAATCAGTAAGAGCTGTTACAATGATGTTTCAAAATTTTATCATCTGGTTTTACAGGAGCTGTATTTAGATATTTATAAAATACATAGATCAGCTTCGTGAATGTTTCCACATTCCAATATGGTGATTTATGAAATAACCATGTCTTTGATATGTATTATACTGTAGTTTATTGATTTTATTGGTCAAGTGTGAGATACATGTTCCAGTATGACATATCTTTTACAAAGCAGATAACAAATTTTTCTAAACAAAATATTATTATATCCATATAGATGTCTACACTGAAAACCGTTTTTTCCCCCAATAAATATTTTTATAAGAAAATCCAAGACACAAATTTCCTTTGTTTTATCAGTATTTGAAATACTTGTGGAAAGTGTGCCCATTGTAGAACAATTAGTACAAAATATCATAGGTAATATTAAGTACTGTGGAAAAGTTAGTGAATTTAAAATTCGAGACATTTCGTGTGAGGAAATACAAGCAAGTCGTGCAATTGAGACGATATTTTAGCAAAAATTACCAATTTTCCGCATTGCCAACATAACTACAGGACCACTTATACATTATATGCCATCATTATGTATATAAACTAATTATTCAGTCAGATAACACTGCAGTACCATTTTGAATGCATGTTTATCTCCCTTTCTACAAGGAAACGTGTTACTGTTATATGGTTTGCTTGAATTAAGTTGTTGATGTAAAAGATTTATAGTCATACAATGCAGTATTTAGGAAAATATGTGAAATGTTACACGATGGGAAATTATATGTTTTTATTAAAGGAATGTTATGTTATGGTACATTGTACAATATGTATTACCAAGTTTCAGGTGCAGATGAAAGAATAAAAGAGATCGCTGAGTTTTTAATTAATTGTGACAAACATGTTGACCATGTAATTAATGCTGTCGACTCTGTCAAAGATTATACATGCTTATTTAAGTTTCCATTGTCATGACCTGGTCCCATGTTCACAATGTTAGGATGAAATGATCCTGATGTTGTTTAAGTATTCCGGTATTCTGCACATGGTTGGTTCGTTAATGATTTTCTTGTCTGCTAAATATCTTTTGTTCTGATTGAAGGAATTTGAAAGTGCTAGGCAGAAATGTAAACCATTTTTAGACGATATGCAAAGCACAGGTATGGGCTCTCTTTCGGTCATTTTCAAGATTTTTATGTTGTTTGATTCAGGTCTAGATCCTTATCAACTTAGTGAACATTGAGCTTAGAATTCAAGTAGAATGCCCATAATAAGTCTTTGGGAGGATCCCTTTCTTAATTTTAGACTTTCGCTATTTTCTACATACATGCACCACAAAAATAGATTTTAATTTGTTGTGAAGGAAATGGTGAAAATATTTAACTATATATACTTCAACAATACATGTGTAACAAGTATTGGGCTATTTTACTTGGTCATTTAAAATGCTGGTATGAAAATGACATAAGTGATATTGTTTTACTTCTAAAAATGTATGTAAATGTATTGAATTATATGTAAAAACTGTTATATATGTAAACCTTTACTAGGTAAAGAAAAGTAATAAAACATAAAAAAAAAATATTCTCCAACCTTTTGTTTTGTATAAGCAAGATTTCTGTTTTAATACTAAATGGTCTGGATGGATTTATGAATCACATATGTATCTTGTAGATATTCCAAAAGATGATTCATGTGAACGTGAACATTAAGGTAATGGTACATAATGCAGCAGCAAGAGGCTTTATAAATGACTTTTTTTACGATTTACTCTATTGTACAACTCGGACGAACAAGTCTGTCCATGTGCAGCGCACTCTCATTTTTCTCAGTGCCAGATGGTTAAATAAAAGCAAAAAAGACAAAGTGGCAACTTTGAAATTTTTTTGAGGATCCTTTTATGACAATAGGTACTGGTATACAAAGGTTGACGGGAGTAGATTAAATGGTTTCTTGAGAACATGGACCTTAATGAAAGGTTAACAAAGCAGACGCCAGTGCAGACAAGAGGATCATGACAATAGCTCAACTTTTCTTCTTTTCTTTTCTTTGAAAATTGGAGCTAAAAACAATTTTTCTTCACCCTTTACCAGTTAGAACCAAAATCAATCATCACTGCCATCATAATTATAGAGCCCGGTAGCCCAGCGCTTCGATTCAATGCAGTCTGATCAGGTTCATTACTGTTGGTAGCTCAATTTATTTAAAACTAGAAATGTGTCATCATGCCACGGATGCCCCCGCATGCAGCCAAAATTTCAAATGTTATAATATTTAGTTCCAAATTTGTTTGCACAAATTATTTTATTCATTCTATGTTCAAAGCCCTTAAAACTTTTCAATGTTAACACAAACCATTTTTATACAATGTTCAAGGCACTGAAATTATTCAGTCTTAACCTTTTGAAAATAGCATATTGCATATTTGTAGCCAAAATAATGGCTATATACATTTCCACAAAAGTATGAGTGCTGAAACTGAAAGTTCAAAATTTTTCCAACATTCAGGAAAGATAAGTTTGTCCAAAATCATTGAACAACGACCAAATTCTAACTTAAACTGCTTATTCCTAAGATGTATCTATATTATTTTCAAAGTGAAAGGGACATAACTCTGCCAAAAAATCATCGAACCATGACCAAATTCCAACTTGACCTGCGCATTCCTTTGACATATCCATATGTCAATTTTGAGTTGAATATGTAACACTGTTGGGTTGATAATGAACAGAAACTGTAAATTTCATATCATTTTCAAAGTGAAAGGGGCATTACTCTGCCAAAAATCATTGAACCATGACCAAATTCAAACTTGGCCTGCGCATTCCAAAAATATATCCATATGTCAAATTTGAGTTGAATGTGTAATACTGTTGGGGAGATAATAAACGGAAACTGAAAATTTCATATTATTTTTAAAGTGAAAGGGGCATAACTTTGCCAAAAATCATCAAACCATGACCAAATTTGAACTTGACCTGCGCATTCCTTTGACATATCCATATGTCAAATTTGAGTTGAATGTGTAATACTGTTGGGGAGATAATAAACGGAAACTGAAAATTTCATATTATTTTCAAAGTAAAAGGGGCATAACTCTGCCAAAAATCATCGAACCATGACCAAATTCAACCTTGACCTGTATTTTCTCATGACATATCCATATGTCAAGTTTGAGTTGAATGTGTTGTACCATTGGGGAGATAATGAACAGAAACTGAAAATTTCATATTATTTTCAAAGTGAAAGGGGCATAACTCTGCCAAAAATCATCAAACCATGACCAAATTTGAACTTGACCTGCGCATTTTTTGACGTATCCATATGTCAAGTTTGAGTTAAATGTGTTGTACCATTTGGGAGTTAATGAACGGAAACTGAAAATTTCATATTATTTTCAAAGTAAAAGGGGCATAACTCTGCCAAAAATCATCGAACCATGACCAAATTTGAACTTGACCTGTATTTTCTCATGACATATCCATATGTTAAGTTTGAGTTGAATGTGCTGTACCGTTGGGGAGATAATGAACTGAAACTGAAAATTTCATATTTTTTTCAAAGTAAAAGGGGCATAACTCTGCCAAAAATCATCGAACCATGACCAATTTCGAACTTGACCTGTATTTTCTCATGACATATCTATATGTCAAATTTGAGTTCAATATGTGCAACGGTTATGAAGATAATGAACGGAAACTGATGATGACGGAAGTACGGAATGACGGAACAGGGTAACACTATATGCCCTTGCCATTATATGGCGGGGGCATAAAATTTTTTTCATTTTTTTTCATTTAAAGTATATAAAGCTTGCTTTGTTCAAAACTGAAACCTGGGAGTCTTATGTCCTTGATTTTGATGCTATTTCAAGTGAGCGAAGAATAAAAAAAGGGGTGTAATAAATAAAGAAAAAAAGTCTTGAAATATTTGTAATCAAATACACATGTATTTCTATATTTTCAGTATAAATTATTTCATTCTATTTTCAGTATAAATTATTTCATTCTTTTTTCAGTATAAATAATTTCATTCTATTTTCAGTATAAATAATTTCCTTCTATTTTCAGTAAAAATAATTTCATTCATATAAGAAAAAACGTCCTTGACTCGTACAGTACAACAGGGGACTGGTATTCAAGGTTAATTCCGCTGTAAAAATTTCACATTTCATTATGATAAATATGATAAAACATCTATGCCAATATCTAATATAGTTTTTACAATATTTCTCCCTCGACAAGGAAACGTTGATTTAAAAATGTCAAATGAAAAATTGCGGAGTCAAAATGTCAAATAAATAATTGATGACTCTTGCTATACATTAAACAGATTTTTTATGTCTTCGTTTCTGGGCAGTATCTTGTCTGCTACGGTCTACCTCAATGACCTGAAATAATACAACAAAGTCAATTCATTTTGTGAGCATAATAAAATAATTTTAACACACACACGAAATGTTAGCATTACACTAGAGGCCTGTCAATGAAAAATGTTTCTTTTGCACTAAAAGCATCTTTATTTTGGGTATGTGATAAAAAGAATAATATATTTGTGTAGATTTAATACTAAATTTATTGAACTTGTTGAATAAAACAATATTATGCTCACATATGCTTTTATTCAATTCATTCAATATCCTCTATATATAGGATTATTACAAATGTATCATGATCTTCAACCTGTAGCTTATTCAGCTCAAGGTCATTTGCAAGGCAAGAAGCATAAAGCTCAAGGTCATTTGCAAGGCAAGAAGCATAAAGCTCAAGTTCATTTGCAAGGCAAGAAGCATGCAAGTCACCAAAGAGCCAAATGTGAGAAGCCTATATTAAAATCCACATCAACACAAGTTCAAGGACCACTTACAATGAACATTTAAATGAAGGATTAACTCAAGAAGGATTTAACTCACTGTTGGAACAGTACCACAATTCACTTGCAGAAATCATGATCACAACAAAGAAAAACATTGCTTTTTCACTGATTCTTACATTTTTCCTTCATTATATATAAATGGATGTGAAAAGATGAATAAGAAATTTTAAAGAGCATTACAGCGTGTGAAAAGGTGAGATTTTAGCATTTAATGATTCAAGCATCTTGTCCGGTATAAACCGGAATACCACATTTAGTCTCCCTCTTTAACAAAACAATTTTTCTACATATTTCAACAATATACATTTATACATGTATTCAACATAGTTGTCGCAACTTTACATGAGCAACAACATTACTTGATAACATTCGTATGCAAAAAAACTTATTTTTCATAATTTTTGTCAAGACAGTACAGGCAGTATTGTATTTAAAAACTAGAAATGTGTCGTCACGCCACGGATGCCCCCGCATGCAGCCAAAATTTCAGATGTTATAATATTTAGTTCCAAATTTGTTTGCACAAATTATTTTTTTCATTTTAAGTTCAAAGCCCTTAAAACTATTCAATGTTAACACAAACCATTTTTATACAAAGTTCAAGGCACTGAAACTATTCAGTGTTAACCTTTTGTAAATTGCATATTGCATATTTGTAGCCAAAATAATGACTACATACATTTCCACAAAAGTATGAGTGCTGAAACTGAAAATTCAAAATTTTTCCAACATTCAAGAGAGATAACTTTGTCCAAAATCATTGAACCATGACCAAATTCAAACTTGAACTGCTTATTCCTAAGATGTATCTATATGTCAAATTTGAGTTGAATGTGTACAACCATTGGGGAGATAATGAACGGAAACTAAAAATTTCTGATTTTTTTTGGATAACTCAGCTATCATCAAACCATGACCAAATTGGAAATTGACCAATGCATTCTTATGACATATCCATATCTTTAATTTGAGTTGAATATGTACAACTGTTGGGGCGATAATGAATGGGAACTGAAAATTTCCTCTTTTTTTTTTTCAAAGTTAAAGGGGCATAACACTGCCAAAAATCATCGAACCCTGACAAAATTTGAACTTGACCTGCGTATTTCTTTGACGTACCCATATGTCAAATTTGAGTTGAATGAGTAATACCCTAGAGGAGATAATGAATGGAAACTGAAAATTTGATATTATTTTCAAAGTGAAAGGGACATAACTCTGCCAAAAATCATTGAACCATGACTAAATTCAAACTTGATCTGCCCATTCCTTTGAAATATCTACAGGCAAATTTGAGTTGAATATGTAACACTGTTGGGGAGATAATTTTGTTTGTTTTTGGTTTTACGTCACATCGACACAGTCTAGGTCATATCGCGACGTTCCAGCTTTACTGGTGGAGGAAGACCTCAGGTGCCCCTCCATGCATTTTTTTTAGGCATGAACGGGCACCTGAGTAGAACCACCGACGTTCCGTAAGCTAGCTGGATAGCTTCCTCACATGAAAGAATCCAAAGTCCCTGTCGGGATTCGAACCCACAGCGGTGAGGGGCAAGTGGTTTGAAGTCAACGACCTTAACCACACGGCCACGGACGCCCCTTGGGGAGATAATGAACAGAAACTGAAAATTTCATATTTTCAAAGTGAAAGGGACATTACTCTGCAAAAAAACATTGAACCATGACCAAATTCAAACTTGGCCTGCGCATTTCTTTAACATATCCATATGTCAAATATGAGATGAATGTGTAATACTGTTTGGGAGATAATGAATGGAAACTGAACATTTCATATTATTTTCAAAGTTAAAGGGGCATCACTGCCAAAAATCACCGAACCATGACCAAATTTGATATTGACCTGTGCATTCCTTTGACGTATCCATATGTCAAATTTGAGTTGAATGTTTAATACCGTTTGGGAGATAATGAACGGAAACTGAAAATTTCATATTATTTTCATAGTAAAAGGGGCATAACTCTGCCAAAAATCATCGAACCATGACCAAATTGGAACTTGACCTGTATTTTCTCATGACATATCCATAATAAATTATGTCAAGTTTGAGTTGAATGTGTTGTACCGTTGTTGAGATAATGAACGGAAACTGAAAATTTCATATTATTTTCAAAGTAAAAGGGGCATAACTCTGCCAAAAATCATCGAACCATGACAAAATTCTAACTTGACCTGTATTTTCTCATGAAATATCCATATGTCAAATTTGAGTTGAATGTGTGCAACCATTACTAAGATAATGAACGGAAACTGATGATGACGGAAGGACGGAATGATGGAACAGGGTAACACTATATGCCCCGGCCATTATATGGCAGGGGTATAAAAAATGAGGAAACAACTATCTGCTACCACACTAATCAACTTCAGTAAATTTGTGTAGACATAAGAAATTTCAGTTCAACTGGGAATTTTCTTTCTTTAAATTAGGGAAAAAATAATATTTGCCATTGGGAATGGGTCTGTTAATCTCATCCACGATGACAGATAACATCAAGTGATTGAAGGAATTGTACAATTATTGTCATTCAATATTAATAAATCTGTCCACTATTTTTTTAAATCTGTCCCAAGAACTTGTCATAAGATATGCCACAGACTTGCTTACTAGCACTTTGGTACACTCCATTAAATCAAAGTTGGCAACTTATGTAAGATACGGATCTTAAAAGCATTTGCTTTTCACAAAAACTTCAATAAATATGGCTTACATTAGAATAAGGGAGGAGAACAAAACCCCTTCATACTCCTATATTTACCTGTTTAACCTGATTTTCTGCAATCTTTTGCATTTCATCTTTAAGATTCCTGGAATTTGGTAAATCCTACAGAAAGAAAAGACAAGTTATCTTATAAAGTAATTCACACTGTTAAAAAATGTTCTATGATAACCTAATTTGAAAACAAATAAAATGGTTGCACTTTAATCATAAGTGGCAAATAAAATCAGTGTTCAACTCAGCACATCAAGTGTTGTAACTTCTTATCTACTGCAAAAACATGTATAAAGAATGAAATTGTCAGTAATTTCAAGCAAAAGGCCGGCCCTGGTCTCAACTTTCTTCCTCTAACAAGAGCTGTCATTCAGACAGGGTGCTAAATTATTCTCAGTGCTTGACAGTAAGAAAAGGGGCATAACTCTGTAAAAACTCTGTAAAAAGGTAACTCAAGAGTTATTTGACCTGTGCCCATCCTGCTAGATTACCACGAAGAGCAAAGTGTGTGAAGTTTCAATCCATTCCCATCAGTAGTTTTGGAGAGCAAAAACTTAACCAAGTGCTTCGCTGATGTGACACTGGATTAGGTACAATAGCTCTCCCTATTCTTCAAATATGCAAGCTAAATTCAAATTCTTTATTTCATGTACAGTCATAATTATATTTTACCATTCTTTTATATCAGAAATTCGAAAATGTTATGTTCAATACATGGCATGTGAAGCCCATGCATCCATGGCCACTAATAATAAGTAAACAAGATATGTTTGTAAAACATGTATGCCCCCTATGTGCAGTCAATTAGTCATGTGATCAGGTTATTATGCATGACTTCTGACCCAGTGAACAAAAAATTAATAAGGGTTATCTACTGGTCATGACTAGTTACAAGGTAATAATTATTGTGACCCCATAGGTTGTGTGCAGCAATTTAAGTTATTACAAATCTTACCAAATAAAATATGCATAAATTTTATGAATAATAGTTTAATATAAAAATACCAACCAAGGCAACTTGACATGTTGAGTTATTGGTCAGAAACCATCTTAAAGTACAATGTCAATTTGACACTGACCCCTTGACCCCTAAATCAATAGGGGTCATCTACTGGTCATGACCAATCATCATATAAAGTTTGAAGTTCCTAGGCCTAAGTGTTCTTTACTTATTGATCGGAAACCGTTTTTACTTACAAGGTCAATGTGACGTAGACCTTTGACCCCAAAATCAATAGTGGTCATCTACTGGTCATGACCAATCATCATATAAAGTTTGAAGTTCCTAGACCTAAGTGTTCTTTAGTTATTGATCAGAAACCGTTTTTACCTACAAGGTCAATGTGACCTTGACCATTGACCCCACAATCAATAGAGGTCATCTTATGGTCATGACCAATCACCATTACAAGTTTGAAGTTCCTAGGCCTAAGCGTTTTTTAGTTATTGATCGGAAACCGTTTTTACCTACAATGTGACCTTGACCTTTAACCCCTTGACCCCAAAATCAATAGGGTTCATCTGCTGTTCATGACCAATCACCATACCAAGTTTGAAGTTCCAAGGCCTAAGCGTTTTTTAGTTATTGATCGGAAACCGTTTTTACCTACAAGATCAATGTGACCTTGACCTTTGACCTCTTGACCCCAAAATCAATAGGGGTCATCTACTACTCATGACCAATCACCATACCAAGTTTTAAGTTCCTAGGTCCTAGCGTTCTTTAGTTATTGATCGGAAACAGTTTTTACCTACAAGGTCAATGTGACATTGACCTTTGACCCCAAAATCAATAGGGGTCATCTACTGGTCATGACCAATCACCATACCAAGTTTGAAGTTCCTAGGCCTAAGCGTTCTTTAGTTATTGATCGGAAACCGTTTTTACCTACAAGGTCAATGTGACCTTGACCTTTGACCCCTTGACCCATAAGTCAATAGGGTTCATCTTCTGGTCATGACCAATCAATATGCCAAGTTTGAAGTTCCTAGGCCTAAGCTTTCTTGAGTTATTGATCGGAAACTGTTTTTACTTACAAGGTCAATGTGACCTTTGACCCCTTGACCCCTAAATCAATAGGGGTCATCTACTGGTCATGACCAATCATCATACCAAGTTTGAAGTTCTTAGGCCTAAGTGTTCTTTAGTTATTGATCGGAAACAGTTTTTACCTACAAGGTCAATGTGACGTTGACCTTTGACCCCAAAATCAATAGGGGTCATCTACTGGTCATGACCAATCACCATTACAAGTTTGAAGTTCCTAGGCCTAAGCATTTTTTAGTTGTTGATCGGAAACCGTTTTTAGCTACAAGGTCAATGTGACCTTGACCTTTGACCCCTTGACCCCAAAATCAATAGGGGTCATCTACTGGTCATGACCAATCACCATGCCAAGTTTGAAGTTCCTAGGCCTAAGCGTTCTTTAGTTATTGATCGGAAACTGTTTTTACCTACAAGATCAATGTGACCTTGACCTTTGACCCCTTGACCCCAAATTCAATAGCGGTCATCAACTGGTCATGACCAATCCCCATACCAAGTTTGAAGTTCCTAGACCTAAGTGTTCTTTAGTTATTGATCGGAAACCGTTTTTACTTACAAGGTCAATGTGACCTTGACCTTTGACCCCTTGACCCCAAAATCAATAGGGGTCATCTACTGGTCATGACCAATCACCATACCAAGTTTGAAGTTCCTAGGCCTAAGGGTTCTTTAGTTATCACTCGGAAACCATTTGGTCTACGGACCGACAGACCGACAAATGCAAAGCAATATACCCCCTCTTCTTAGATGTGGGGGCATAATAATAATAATAATGATTAACTTTATTATCATGAACTTTAACTTACCATGACAAAGAGTTTGGTGACCTTGAAAAGTCTAGCAGAACATGACTTGTATATAGGATCTGTCTTACTGACACCATTGTCCATTAATACACGGTCAACTATATCTTGTAAACGCTGAAATGAACAATTAAAGTAACTATTTAGCTTGTTACTAGGAAAGACATAACAAGTTTTTGGTGACTGATGATGGCTTGCCACATTTAAAAGAACATAAATCTGACAAAAACTTGTATGATATATACAAAGAATGGTAGATAAGTTACTGGATGAATAAACCTGTGCTTCATATGCCATAAATACAAGCAATAAAATCTTTATATGTATTTATACTGTTTTTGTGTTAGCTATGGAATATGTATATGCATCATGTTTGCAGTTTCTCTGTAATCAAGCAATTATCATAGTATTGCAAGCAATCCATAAGTCCCCTACCGGTTAGAACCCCAGCAACATTCTGATGGGCCAATTTGGCCGTGAATGAATGACATGAATGAACTTAAATCTTTTGAGTTCTAAGTTTGTCTATATCACAGTAATGTGTTAAGTTTCCCTGCTTTGTAAGGAAATTATGTTTATACAACCTTGTTATATTATTACGATGTGGGATTTTAAAGTAAATCCTGGATGAAGGAATGAAGAAGTTGGAGTAAAAAATACCAATTTCTCGAAAAAAAGCTAAGTTCAAGGGGGACATAATTCTGGAAATAGTCTTGCTAGAGTATTTAACCTTCTCAAAAATGTTAAGTGATAATAAGAAACATATATATGAAGTTTGAAGTAGATACATTAGGAAATAAAGAAGTTATTTAAAAAAGACAACATTTTTTTCATAAAAATTCTAAGTTCAAGGGAGGTAATACTGATAATTTTTGTGCTAGAGTTGTAAACCTTGTCACATATGATGTGGTTGATGACCAGAAACTTATTTTTAAAGTTTGAAGTAAACACCTTAAGAAATAAAGAACTTATAGTGAAAAAGCTGAAAAATTTCAATCAGAAATCTTGAAATTCAGGCTATTTGTTGCCATAGCAACCAGAGAATTTTCAACATAGGAAGAAAAGAAAAATATGTGCATAATCTCCAGACTGCCATCTACCTATATTTCAAGTTTCATAAAAACATTTTCAGTACTTTTTGAGATATCACTGGATCCAGTTTATGTGTTTAATTTGCCATATTTTCAGACTATTTGTTGCCATAGCAACCAGAATTTTCAACATAGGAACGTAAGAGAAAGACGTGCATAATCTCCATACTGCCATCTATCCATATATCAAGTTTCATAAAAATATTTTCAGTACTTTTTGCGTTATCGCGGGATCCAGTTTTGTGGACGGACGGACTGACGGACGGACGGACAGACGGATGGACAGACAGACAGACGGACGGAGGGTAAACCTAAAGTCCCCTCCGGTTAAACCAGTAGGGGACTAAAAACCATCTCGGGTCATGTGATTCCAAGCATGGGTCATGTGATTCCAAGCATGGGTCATGTGATTTCAGGCATGGATCATGTGATTTAAGGCATTGGTCATGTGATTCCAAGCACATGTCATGTGATTCCAAGCATGGGTCATGTGATTCCAAGCACGGGTCATGTGATTCCAAGTAATGATACACTTACCCTTTTATGTCTGTCTGATCTAGATTCTTTCCTTATTCCCTCTCCTTGTGGTGTAGTGAAAGAGGAACCAGCATCGGACTGTCTACGTAACTTATCTACCTGTTTAGGTGCTGGACCCTGGCTCAAACCTATATCTGAACTCCTACGCTGTGTGCTGAACTCCTGAAAAGTAGAATTATATTGTTTTTACTTTCTTACTTTTTTAAAAATATATCTAATGTAAAAAATAACACTACACAAATATTACAGGCTGTCAACCAGGTCTTATCCAAAATAAAGGAGGAATATAGGAATATTTTTGCAGGAAATATAGGAGTTATTGGATCATTTTGAGGCAAAAAATAGGAGTTTTCAACTTAAATTGTTTAACTTACCAATGCTTATATAAATGTAAATTATTCTTACCTTTACACATAATGTTTCTACAATAAAATTTCTACCATATAAGTGAGGGAAACCATTAATTTTGAACCACAGCATCAGCATCCCAGCAGAAGGCTACAGCAATGATCATCACCATCATCTGAATGGTCACCTGAAATGTAGTTTTTTATTTAAAATAAGGCATACAATTTAACAAAGCTTCATCAAAAGATAACACAAAACATAACAGAATAAACAATATCTTAACAAGAATGCTACCAGAAGTATTGAAATTAATTTGGTGCTGTAAATGACCGGGACTTGATTAATGTTTTAGTTTACTGACCAGCAAATATCTCACACTTTGTCACAATCTTATATCCTTACTATTACTGTTCGCATTGTTATTACCAAAAATGAAAAGAATGATGATTTGGCAGAATAATAAAATAAAAAAGTAAAATCAAATGTAAACCAGAACATGAATCATTGGCCCAAATTTACATAACATTATTATGAAGTTGTAGTGGAAATACAACAGTAAATCCTTAGACAACAAAATAATTATTGAGAAGTTGAACAGAAGTTAACATCTCAGGTACATACAAGAATTGAATAGATATGCACATAAAATTATAAACACATCTAAAAAGCATAAATCACACTTTCTGTGGACTTGACCAAAATAAATATCACATAATATAAATATTTCAATTAACACAGTTCAATCCTTATTGCTAAATGTATAGCAATATGCACTTCACAAAGTAGAAGAAACATAAAACTGTAAAACATGTATGGAAGGAATAAATCACACTTCCTGTAGATGGTAAAAATAAGAGATCAATAGATTTCAATCATATTTCACAAACACAGTTCAAGCATTATGCCAATGTTATTGCAAATTGTATGTTGCATAGTTCTAGAAACATAAACTGTAAACATATTTACAAAGTATATGATTATTCTCTTCCTGTGGATTTCCAGAAATACAGAGATATCTATATTTTTGAATCAAGTTTCAAGTAACACAGTCACAATCTCAATCACTAGGTCATGTTATAGCAATCACAAAACTTAGTGCTATTAAAAATAAAATATTATTTTTAACAGCATAAACTGTCTGGCCGTGCTTCAATTCCTGATTTGGAAGAGCAGACATGGTGGGTAGTCTCTCAGAAAAAGTATATGTAATTGTAAATCAGTAATTCGTTTTGAATCAAACTTTATTGTAAATCTAAATATCTAAATGTTGTTTTTGCACCAGAGTCTGTCACTGTGTCCTTTTCTTTTTGTAAATGTTTTCTTAAGAGACTTGCCTTGTATTTCATCACTGGGGAGTATGTGAAAAAATGAACAAGATATTGGCTTACCTAAAATAAAATTGACATACTGATGCACTGGATTTTCATGGTGACCATGCAGATGGCTATGAGGAGCACAGCAGCCTTGAGCATAGTAATGTGATGCTGATGCAGGCATAGACATTCTCTTACCTGTAAAATACAATAGGCCAGAAAAGTACCAAAATTTAAATCTCTTTGAATTTATCGGCAATATATTTTAAACAAGAGGGCCATGATGGCCCTAGATCGCTAACCTGACCCATCAAACTCATCCAAACAATTACCTAGACAAGCATTCTGACCAAGTCTCATGACAGGTGAGTCACATATGTGACCACTACAGTGTTAACAAGGATTATCCATATTTGAGCAGTGTGACCTAATTTTTTACCCAGGTGACCCATATTCAAACTTGACCTAGAAATCATCAAAACAAACTTTCAGACCAATTTCCAGGATACTTGGATCAAAACAGTAGCAACTAGAGTGTTAACAAGATTTTTTCTATTTTTAGCTCCGGTGACCTAGTTTCACATGCGATTTGGAACCCATCCGAGCAATTACCTAGACAAGCATCCTGACCAAGTTTGATGATAATCGAGTCGAAAATGTGACCACTAGAATGTTAACAAGGTTTTTCCATATTTAGGCGGTGTGACCTAGATTTTCATTCGAGATGACCCATGTTCGAACTTGACTTAGAAATCATCAAAACAAACTTTCAGACCAATTTACAGGATATTTGGATCACAACAGTAGCCACTAGAGTGTTAACAAGATTTTTCTATTTTTAGCTCCTGTGACCTAGTTTTTCATCCGAGATGACCAATGTTCAATTTAATCCCAGCAATGACCTAGACAAGTTTCCTGACCAAGTTTGATGACAATTGAGTCAAAATTGTGACCACTAGAGTATTAACAAGGTTTTTCTATTTTTAGCTCCGGTGACCTAGTTTTTCATCCGAGATGACCCATGTTCGAACTCATCTGAGCAAGTACCTAGACAAGCATCCTGATCAAGTTTGATGACACTTGTGTCAAAAATGTGACCGCTAGAGTGTTAACAAGGTTTTTCTATTTTTAGCTCTTGTGACCTACTTTTTCATCCGAGATGACCCATGTTCGAACTCATCCGAGCTATCACCTAGACAAGCATCCTGGCCAAGTTTGATGATGATTGAGGCAAAAATGTGACCGCTAGAGTGTTAATAAGGTTTTTCTATTTTTAGCTCCGGTGACCTAGTTTTTCATCCAGGATGACCCATGTTTGAACTCATCAGAGCTATCACCTAGACAATTATATATAATAAACAAACTGGTAAACAAATTAACTTTTTTCTACATTTATGTCTTTATGCACATTATGTTTTTGAAGTGAACATCTTCAGGTACATTATAGAATAAGGGGTCGAAATGTCTGGTCATTTTAAGGGGTCTAAGTGTCTAAGGGGTCTAAGTGTCATGGGTCAAGATGTCTTAGGGGTCGAGGTATCAAGGTGTCAAAGGGTCGAGGTGTCATAGACTCAATTTATTTGAACAATCTTGGTGGACATTTACTAGAACATGTTTCATGCCAAATATCCAAGCTCTAGCTCTTTTGAATTTTCACAAGAAGATTTTTTAAGTTTTTACTATATACATAAATATAAGAAAAATCAATGACACCTGGGGCCTGGTAAACCTATATCTTATTAATGAGATTTAAGTAATAGAAAGAGCATCGAAACAAGGGGCTATCTGATTTGTACAAGGGGGCGTAGCCCCCGAGTATAAATCAGATTCCCTAGTGTTTTGAGGTTTTTTCTCTTTTGTATCATAGTCAAACATAAAACACGTTCCCTGATGCCACAATATGAAACCCCACAAAAAAGTAACCAATGAACGAACATCTGAATATGATATTTCTGTCACTTTCCCTTTCTCTGTCATCACAATATTAAACCCCGGACAAAAAGAACCCATCAATGGAAATGCTCTGGAGTGCGGGTAACTAATACCTGCACTCCAGTTAACGCACTGTGAATGTATATGTATACGATTTAACTCTGTCACATTTTCAACAGAAAGGTCCCCAAACTATGATACAATCTATATTATCACTCTCCAGAAAACACTGACCAACAAAGCTTACTGTTTATTACATATTTCTTTTTTAACGCTGCAATATCTTTACAGATACGGTATTAGTGTGAACAAATAAAATCTAATATCCCTTTTTTTGGTACAATGATGAATAATATACTGTATTTCATCAATGTGATATATCATATATCACACTCCTTCTATAAACTAATTTTTTCTCCATACAGGTTTTAACTTAAATATGATATGTATCAATGTGAAAACCTTAAACAGTATTCTTACTATGCTGAACTTGCCCTCCCTTGAATTTGGAACTGTCAAAAATTGGGTGTTTTAAACAAGAAGGCCGAGATGGCCCTAGATTGCTCACCTGA